TTCTATAAATTCCTCTTCCTTCTTATCTCGTACATAAGTTGGGAAAAACTTCTCATAGAAGGCGTCCATAAATATTTTTTAGGTGGTGGAAGTCAGTAGTAAATCTTTCTTCACTTGCCACCAGTAAGTCGTTTCTCCAATAAACATGAAAGCAGCCAAGGAAACCTTCTACTCTTTTGTTACATCTAGCACTATGAAGAGTTTCTCCATTTCCTGGGTCCAGGCTTAGGCGACCATGGGATCGGGACTGCCGTTGAAGTGAGGAGGATTCAGTCTTTTAAATTCTACAGTGTACTAAGAGATGGGACGGTCAAGGGGATGACACTTAGGAGGTAGGGGAGGCTGACCATTGTGGGTTTGATTATACATGACAGCTACTGTCAAGTGTTGAACGGCTTGAAATAACTCGGTAAATTCAGCCTTGGTCAGTGTGTCCTGGGCCTTGGTTCTTTCTACTGATGGTCTCCCCCGTGTCATTTCCTACAAAATGAAAAGGGAGACAATAAGTAAAGATTTCAAGGAAGTTTCTAAATGAGATTTCTCGAAAGAAGTTTCTTATACTCTAAGATTTTTCCTAACTCTAGGTTGGCTTCAATGTAAGGGATTTTTCTGTTGATTATACTCTGATACCACTTGTGACATCCCCAATACTGATTACAGCATAAGGATGTTAGATACCGATACAGAATACGAGTGCATTTAAATAGAATATATATAGCAAAAATTTTCAATACAAAATCCCCTTGTAAAATATGTGAGTTCCCAAATACATATACAACTAAGGCCAGAAGTAGCAATAAAATACAAAATACAAAATACAAAAGGAATGCCACTTCTTCCATCATAAAAATGGACTCATCAGAGTGCGAAACAAGACATGTACTCATTAATGATTATGGATCCACGGGATCTAGGCAAGTTTCAAAAGCTAACTCGATGGACAACTCATCACAAACATTCTCTTCGACGTTATCTAAGAAGGTTCAGTATAGAAAGGAGTGAGTTCTATGAAACTCAGTAAGGCATACAGTATTAAGTTGATATCACTATAAATTTTATAAAAGTATAAATGTTTAAGAAATACATTTTTTTTCACTTACCATCTTAGCGATCCATGGGAGTAGGGTTAACATAAGAAAAACATTTATTTAAAAATATCAAGATCATCAAGATAATGTAATAATATAAATAATGTAATAATATAAATAACACATTAAGAGATAAAATCAAAATAATCATTGTTGTTAAGTCTTTTACCATACTTCGTGCGAAGTCCGTTACAACTTTCTATCTACTGGCTAATACGGACTCCCAACTATCATTATAGTGACACTATCAGTAATTTATAGCTTACTTAACCACAACAGACTTGTGGCTCACTACACCATACTTGATTTGCGGCTCATCACACCATAGCAAATTTGTGACTCGCCACACCATAGCACGATCTATGACCACGACCGTACTTTGCCACAGTGGTCCTAAGATTTTCTACGCACTTTCACACTGTCATCCATAGGGAGTGATTATCTCATGTCTTTCCAGAAAGGGTGGGAACAACAGAAGTAGATAAAATAATCTAATGCATTAATTTATGTTTCATATATCTATTCATGTTTTCATGTTATATCAACAATTTCATATAATCCCTTCTTGTTTCAATTCCATTTCAATTTTGTTCATGAAACAACAATGTAAGCCTTTGCACAATGCATATATAATCAATAACTCATGACACCCTCAAAATCATACCACAAATCATACAATAAAATTAACATTCACTTTTTATGTTCATCTAGAAATGCTTCTTAGAATGTGCAAGAAAATGCTAAATTCCTTGTCGATTACCAAGAGCTCTTTATAAGTTAGTCCCCTTTTTCTTCTATTTTTTTCTTTCTCTCTCTAACTTTCTCTCTCTAGAATTTTAGCCTTGAGGGTGAAAATAGGTGAGAAAGAAGTGTAGAGAAGGTCTTTATTTATAGAAATAAAAAACCATCGAATTTGCTACAAGTGTCAAAAGTCCATGAAGAGAGAGAAAATAATGACATCATCATTGCATCATCCACATCAGCTAGCTAAGGAGGAGGCATGGCTCCTAAGAGGGCGGCGCGTGGGGCTCAAGGCACCGTGCGCTGTCCAAGTCTGCCACACACGCAGGCTGCTCTGCATGCACGAACGGTGCACTAATGCACGTGTAGGGTAAGGCTTGCATATACTGGCTGTCTTGCGTTATCATGTCGCACATGTGGATGCGAAGTTGCGTGCCTGATGCGATAAATCTACAAGCGGGATCCACGCGCATCTATGCACAGGATTCGCGTGCAGACTAGGCGCGAGATGGGCACCCTGGTCGATGGGACGTGCGTGTAGGTTGGCGTTTGTGCGCATGGGTGCACATCGCGCGGGCAACTCTACGAGGCGAGCAGGCAGGCCCGCGCGGGCTGGCTTTCCCACAGCATTCGACTTCTCCTTCGTTTCCTTTTTCTTCCTAATTTCTCCCTCTTTTTTTGTCAAACACTTTTAAAAAATAAATTAAAATAATATGATAATAAATTTTTGAAAATATTTAAAAATAAGAAAAAATAGCAGAAATTTAAAATAAGATAAAATAAAATAATATTACACCACATAAGTTTAATGGCCAAAGTCGCGAATAAAATGAAGTCTTAATACCACATGAAGTGCAAAGATGCGGTGTGTTACACTGAAGAAAAAAAAAATTAATGCTACATTCTAAAAGCAAATTGTTGGAAGCTTGATGTATTTAACAACAACAAGATTTGATATTATGTTTACTGTAAATCTTATCAGCAGGTTTATAGAATGTTCAATTGATCTCCATTTCTTTATAATAAAGAGAATCTTGTGCTACAAAAAAGGTACACTTGATTTTGGTATTCTTTATCGAAAAGGAAAATGATCAAATCTTATTGTCTTTAGTGACAGTGATTATGTATGAGACTTGGAAAGCAAAAGAAGTACTTATGGTCATATATTTATGATGAGTTTAAGGGTAATATCATGGGTATAAAAAAAACAAGAAGTTGTTTCTCTATTTGCAATTGAAGCTGAGTTTATAGCAGCAATTTCTTATGCATGTCAAAATATTTGGTTGAAAAAATACCCGAGTTATTGCATTATTTGAAGCAGGGGCCTATACCGATTTATTTGACAATGGCCTCGTAAAGAATTTCATCTCTAATCCAATTTTATCCCTTCCTCTTCAATTTAAACTTCTAATATTGTTTTACATTTAAAAATAGATATTTTATTTAGTGAAAAGAAAAAAAGTTAAAAAATATATATGAGGAAGAGAAAATGAACCCACTTGCAGTAGTGGATAGAAGATTTGGCTTAATATGACATGTCACACTTGAATATAAAATGAATGCAATAATTTATTTATCTTATAATTATGTCTCAAGAAATATTTCAAATAATACGATTTGTTAAACATTTGTATTTAAAACATATGCAATAGTAAAATTATCTTATAATTTTAGCTTGAAGAACATTTCAAATAATATGATTTGTTAATTAAGATCTCATTTTCTATTACGGATATGATAATAGTATTTAGGGTTTGAATCTTTAAAAATTCTCAAGTTAGGTAAAAGCTGTATTCCTTTGACAATAGGATGAGGTGTCATGAGTCGAAGTTGTGTAGAATACCAAGTAGAAGGATACAAAAGAAAGCTACCTACTTATCAAAAGGGGGAGAAAATAATTCAATTTAGTAGTTATATAATAATATTTTGATACATAGATTTGCTACATTAGAAGTATAGATCAACCACAAATTTGCATCAAATCTTACAAAAATTTGGCTGATAGATTAAGTAAATCCCTTTTAACTGTAATTCTATATATACACTCACACGCATAACATTAATAGAATTCTAACAGTAACAACATTCTCTTTATTTTTTTTGTCAACCAAGAAACTGAAAACAAAATTTAAAACAGACAACAAATTAAGTACTAACTTTGTTTCTTTAAAAAAAACAAGAAGTCAATGAAGGGCAGCTACTGAAAAAGAAAGAAAGAAGAGGTATAGGGAAAAATCATTTGCCGGCGGCGGAGATGATGATCTGGCGGCGACAAAGAGGACAAGAGTTGCAGTGAGAGAGCCAAGTGGCTATACAAGAGGCGTGGTAGACATGGCCGCAGGGGATTTTTTTGGCGCTAACACCTGAGTCTACACGCTCCATACAGACGGTGCACGCGCCGCCGCTGCTTATCTCGTAAACTGTTGGCAAGTTGGCGACTGAGGAGCTGAAGCTTGTAATCTCCGCCTCATCATGGCCTGAATTATCAGCCTCCTCCGCCCCCGTCCTCGGCATCCACAGAGCTTCATCCAGATCAAACCCTTGCTCCAATATACTCTTGAAAACGGCGTCGGATTGGCTCATCATGTTTCATACAAGATTTTCTTTTTGGGGTTTCTACGCAGCTTCTCTTCTTCAACCTATTACTTACCCCAATATACTGATGAAAACGGCGTCGGATGGGCTCGTCTTGTTTAATACCAGATTTTCTGTTTGGGGTTTCTAGGCAGCTTCTCTTCTTCTACCTATTACTGGCCATGGTGGATATAGGATGATAATGATGATGAAATGTTGAATAGCTAATGAGAATGTTGTTATATAATAAGAAGGTGGGCTACCTTTCTATATCTACACATCCTTTTCTTTTCTTTTCTTTTCTTTTCTTTTTTGAATTTTTTATTTGGACATATTCGCACATGCTGATCCAAAAACACCTTGCATTAAATTAAGGAAAATACAAAAATATTGCCACTTATATATTATGATTAATTATATTATTTTAATATTCAAATGACATTTAATTAATTTTTATTTAAAAATTAATGTCATAGTCACTATATTCATGTTGTTTAAGAGAAGATAGCAATTTTTTCCTTAGTTGGAAGAATCAAAACACAAAATCAAGAAAGCTTAATCATTTAACTAAATATAACACAAGAGTTTTTTACAAAATTAACATAAGAAAATTACCTATAATAAATTACATATTTGAAGAAAATATTTTTTAAAAAAACGAAGCATTCAAAACTTTTTTATAAATTAAAATAGTTATATTAATTATGAATGCTGCATTTATTATGAAATTATACAACTAACTAATTATATATAGTTGAATCTAGAGGATTAAAATTAAATCTATTATATATTACATGTATAAGCAATAATTATAAATATTATATATTATATTTTATTTCTAAATTAATATTCGTTCATGTTAAATAATAAATAAATATTTTTTTTTACAATTAACAGACCTTTTATCGTCCTAAACATACATGCATGCAGCATGTGTACGCCGACTACAGGTGAATACATGCAGCAACTTCTCATGCTTTCATGAATTTCTTAAATCTAAGTGGAACAATTTTTAATGTCATATATATTTCATATTTAAAAAAAAAATTATTTTTAAATATAGAAAAATATCAACAAGAATCAAAGCTCTAAATGCAAACTAAAAACTAAATATCAACAAGAATCACAGCTCTAAATACAAACTAAAAACTAACACTAATTTTAATAGTTATATAACTAATAAAAGTCATTTATTTTTAAGCAGTTAAAAATAATATAATTTTTAAATATAGAAATAGAATATATTAATTTAAATAAAAATCATATATATAATTTATTTCTTTAATACTAAACTTGTAAAGGCCCGAAACCTTAAAAGAAATGAATTTATAATTTAAATGCGGAAGCGAATAAGCCGCCCAGACTGCCCTTCTTTGGTGGAATCTGGCATATCTTAACCAAACCTTTTGCATATCTGGAACTCAATTTGCTTAACTTAGACCAAGTTGAGTTCTTCAATCTTACGTGTTGGGGGGACCGTCCCTCTTGCCCTCATAGCTTTTGACAGCAGACGATTTTGACCTTCAAGAGAATACCCTCGGTCCAGCACGAATTGAAATAGAAGCCGGTTCGACAGGAAGATTTTGAAAATGCCCTCAAGGTGAGTTGCTATCGCTGCTTCCTCTTTCGTTCAAGTGGCATGAAGCTTCGTAAATTCATTGTCGAGTTCTATCATAGTGGAGTTCTTTTTTTCTTGGGCTTTCCATGTAATGCATGATTTTCCATCTTGTACCCACGGTGAAGGCGCGAAAGCCGTTGCTTGTTAGTGCTTGAGTTTGATTGCAAACTCAAAGTAAAGAAACCTTTCGAGCTGTAGTTTGACAGCGATAGGGCTTAGGGCCAGCAGAACTCTTTCCTTCATTGTGGTGCCCCCTCTATCCGAGTGGGAGGCCCATACCGCGCTGAGGAAAGAATGACACTTTACAAGACCATTCACTATTTCTTGAAGTTCAATCTCTCCCCTGAATGAACCAGGTTGTAACAATCCGAACGATCCCACTACATCAGGACCTTTTGCTCAGACACCAGACCGCTCGTATCTGCCCATTTTGTCTCGCCCCTCTAATTCCAGAAATTGAAACTGTCAATGAACTAGTATAAGTGAACCTAGATACAGATCAAGAGTTCTAACTTCCCGGGCTTGAATTTCTGCGCCCCTTGTTTCAAAGAGAGGAAGGCGGGTTATTCACATCACCCTAAAATTAGGATTCATTTCTTGTCATCTATTTCTTTTGATTGAATGAATTTAGAAGAATTCGAATAAGAAGATTCCTCCAAAAAAGAGAAGCCATTTTTCAAGATCTTGTGATAGACCGACCTTCTAGAAGGCAATTAAAATTCAGAGGGGGAGCCAGAAGCTTCGCTTCCGGTAGTTTGCTGACTCTCCTACACAACCACTCACTTCTTTTAAACATCAAATCTTCTCAATAGCAGGTGTGAAGCAAGAAGGAAGAGAGAGGCCTGTGCACAAGCTTGATGTTCGTCGAACTTCAGCCACTTCGAGTTGGCCACGGGGCAACAGCCTTTGACGTCGCAGACGGGTGAGTAACGTGTAATAACCTGCCCTTGGGAGGGGCTGCTCATGCTGCTTCGGCGGTGCTTTTTCGCCTTCTCTTCACTCTGGACAGGTTTGGTTTGTCTAGATAGGAAGTGCACTTGCAGTGCTTCTAGTAACGAGCTCTTTCCCATTTAGTGAGCCTGGTCCTCTCTTTTCAGCCCTTAGCCCGCTCGAAAAGAATATTCACTAAGAGCGGGAAGATATCATATGGAACCGCGGAGAGGGACTATTCAACGGGTAGATATGAATCTGGATCGTCAATCTAGGACCATAGTTCCTGACCTAAAATTCTACACGAATTAAGATCGAGAAAAGGAAGTTTTTCTAAAAAAAGGAGGATGCTGTATTTCCAGGATTGGATTTCATATTCTAATGAATCTCAAGGGCTGAGGGAAAAAGAAGACTGAGAAGTTGAGTAAGGGGGCGAAGCTTGAGGCTTCTCAGCCGCAGGAATAGGGAACGAATCCTCCAAAAATGGAATGAGTTCACAATGAATGGGAAGGGACAAAAGAAACATCTTGTTCTTTCTTCAACAATTTATGATCCCCAGTGGACCTCTCAGTAGGATTCGAACTGGAAATGCCTTACTTTTGAGTGCGGTTTGAACTATTGATTATCTGAACTCATTAGTTTACCCCCATCTATCTGAATGATCGGCCACCCCTTGCTCATCCAAGGAGGGAGTTGGGTAAAAGCTTTTTCTTTGTTTACATCTTCTCTTTCCAGGTACTAGTGACTTCTTGCATCTCGCGCTCCGCGAATGAAAGAGAAAGTCAGAGGAAAAAACACGTTCTCTCTTTGCAAGGTCCAAAAGTGAAGGCTCTAAACATGGTGTCTCACGCCATCACTCACTTTCCTTCGCTACTGCTTTCGCGGGCAAGAAAGGCATGACTGTTGATTCGGTCCTTTCAACAGTTGATGGCTCATTTTGGTGAGCTTTAATATATCATGTAGCGTAGGGATTCCTTATTTTTAAGTGCTTTCTTAAAATTTGCCCGCCCCGAGGAAAAAAATGTGTCCAGGAACGTTCTCCACCAGACGAGAAACTCAATTCCGCGCTGCTGCTAAGTCAAACGAAGGGGATTTTTATTTTACAAATGGTACTTTAAACTTGGAACGAGCATGAAGAAATTAATGAT